ATAGGAGTCGAAAGTGTTCGAACCTTCAAACAAATACATGGTTGTGACGACCAGTGTATTTGTTTTAATACATTCATATTAGGCTTTTAAGGCCTATAATGAAGAGAATTCACTAATAAAGGCATAAAACCCATGAAACCTGTTCCTCTGTCGACCAGTAGACAGAGTCGACAAGGTTCAATCCAAAAAATGGAAATGCCCCCAAACACCCCGATGATGGCCGTGTTGAATGCAGATCTCGAGTGGAGGTGTCCCCAAACATTTTCAAATGTCTCCCAAATATCCAAAATCCATTTCAAACAATTCAAAGCTCCACCCAAATACCCACAAAAACCAAAAAATCTAAGAAATCCAGATTATTCCAAATTCCAAAGATATTTAAAATTAAATCAATCCATCAAACACATAAAGCAAAATCCATCCACCCTCCATGACAGTTTGCCGGGGTGGACAAATTCAAATACTACTTTGGCTCACAAAGATTCAAATGCCTAGTAAAAAATATCACTATGATCCATTCTCAAACAATCTCCTGCTAGTAAGGACGTGATACGTGTCCTCTAACAGGCGGTTTTGCCACCAAATGGCACCGCAGGATAAATGGTTATGACTTGGGTCCCTCTGAACCGAGTGATTTTGCCGCCAAATGGCACCATAGATAGCGGTTATGGCCAGAGCCAATAAGTTCCTTAGTGGTATCAAATCCTTGAGATATGAATCAATTGGATATGATCGATAGGGCACAAAGCTCTCTGTTAGCTAAGGTGGATTCAAATTTGTCCCCTTAGACAAATATCCAACCCAGGTCTACAAGGTCACCATGGACGAAGCAACCCATGGCTGCCGACAAGGATCCTTCTATCAGGTTGGGTCGACTACCTCCTCTGATTAAGTAGACCAGGGACCATGATAGCCTGGGACGACGGAACCATGGGATCTTGATCGGGTCTATCATCCATTCCCCCACCATCCGCTTTAAGTGCAAGATGGTGAAATTTATATTTTAAATATCAACTAACTATCCAAATTTCCAAGCTTCTATATATTTCAAATCCCCAAATTATCAAATCTCAAATCCATGCTGCTACTATATGCCAGATAACACGTATCTCTACATATCTGATTGACGACTAGCCTTAATCGAAAGTTCTCTCGTTATTGGGAGGGGTAATTAACTATAGGGGCTTGCGTCTATAGGAAACCAAAACTCAGATCATAAAGTCCTCGCAAAATGAGTGCGAAATCTCTGGGTAGTGTCTTATCTACAAACCCATCTGCCTTCCAAAATTTATCCCGGAACTTAATTCGGTTAAAACTCCCTCGCCAAAAGGAAAAGCAAAATCATGTGCGGGCGGAGGCCGGGGCCGAATTTTCGGAGCCCACATTTATCTAATTAAAATTTAATGATTAAAACAAAAATTGTCCTAAATGAATGGGAAGGTTTCTAAAAAGCCTTCAAAATTGGTCAAGTTTAACACCTTTGTAGCTGGGTTTGACTCCTTGTGATTAGTCTATAATAACCTAGATCTATATGAATTGATTTGATTAAATTGTTAAGTAAAATGGATGGTATTGCATTGATTCATTTGTGCCATTCAACTAACTCTTCTTTGAAGTGCTTATAGGGGTGGGTGGGTTAAGGTGGAGATGGGTGCACCACTAGCTCATTCAATGAAAGAGGTGGCTATGTAATGTAAGGAAGCATAGTAAGAATAAATCTAAAAAATACGTAGATCCGAAAGCTTGGGTGTTGGGAGGCTTTAATTCATGCTCATGGTTGTACTATGTTGACATGATTTGGTTTAGTTAGGTCAATATGATTGGGTTGAACCTAATTTGTTTTATTGAAATCGATTGAATGAAGCTTGGTTGGTGTAGAGTATGGTAGTATGAAGAATGAGATATAGTATTAGAGGAAAGAGACCAGAAAGAGTAGAGAGGAGAATATTAGGTAAAAATTCAATATGTTAATTCTTCATCAATTAATCATATAAAAATCTTATATAACAAATTTATATAACTTGCATTGATAAGATAAGATTAAATCAAATTGAATTCAAGTGTAATTTTAAATAGTTCAAAGTTTAAACCAAATATTTTTCAAAAGGATACAACAACAACAACATCAAGCCTTTATCCCACTAAATGGGGTCAGCTACATGAATCTTTTTTCTCCATTGTGCCCTATTAAAAATCAAATTCTCGTTTAAATCTAATAAAGAAAGGTCATTCCTAATATTTTATAACCAAGTCTTTTTAGGTATGCCTCTACCTTTCTTAACATAAGTCAAATCTAATACCTCTACTCTCCTAACCGGGCCATCGGAAAGCCATCGTTTTATGTGACCAAACCATCTAAGGCGACTCTCTCTAATCTTATCTTCTACTGGAGCTACTCCAACTTTTTCAGGTATATGCTCATTTCGTATCCTATCTTTAAGGGTAAAATATAATTTTTCATGTATCTTATCTTCTACTGGAGCTACTCCATTGTATATTTTTCAAAAGGATAATAAAATATAATTTTAATTAAAATAAAGCCATAAAATTTTGGTTTAAATAAATTATAAACTTAATTTCCTATTTTGTGTCAATGATTTTAGATAACTTTTGAAATTAGATTGGTGTGAAGAAGCTTAACCAGGTTTGACTGGTTAAGTTGTTGGAGAAAATGATGGGTAAAATGTTGAAGGAATTTGGATATGAGAGATAAAATTCAAAATTTCAATTTAGGGGCTATTTGGCAATAGGATTTATGCTGGATTTGAGTAGGATTTAACATATATCCTGCCAAATGTGATTTACACTCGATGTAAATCTCACGGCGGAATAAAGCCTCCGTTTCCCTCTTTTTGCTATAAATTTGGGATTTACTAAATCCTGTAGTTCGGCATATTTACAAGATTTGGCCGAAGAAGAGCGTGAAAGAAGTCACCTTCACAGGGAGCTCTAGATGTCTCTAAGCTATATTGATCAATATAATTAATATAATTTGAAATATTAATAATTAAGTAAATTTTTAATATTATAATTAGTGCATAAATTAATAATCTAATTTAACTTAATTGAATATTTAGTAATATAATTAGTAATTAAATTAATATAATAAACTTAATTAATATAATCTAAAATAGAAATTATTAAAAAATAATAATTAATGAAATTTTAACTAGGTATATTAGTTAAATAATTATATATTTCCAAAAAATATTATCTAATTCATTATATATCAACTACTTAATCAATTAACAATTAAATACTTTGATAATTAGGCCTATAATCAAAATTTAAAATTTTAATTATGTTAATTGATAATTAAGCAAGATTTTAATGATATTACTTATCATTACAACATATTGATGTTAATAAAGATATAAATTAATAATTTACTCTTACTTAAGATGTAATTAAAATTGAAAACATAATATATTTAATTTTATAATGAACTAACCGCCTTAAATCCCGGAGTACATTGCCAAACAGTTTCACAAGATTTATCACTTAAGTTGCTAAACAATTTTTTAGGATTTAGCAACCCCAGGATTAACTAAATTCTAAGAAGGTAAATCCTGCTGGTTGCCAGACAACCCCTTTGTCTTCCAAGCAAATTTCAATTTGAAATTCAAATTGAAGATATGTTGTAGACTATTATATGAATTTTGTATAAAGTTATTGCTTTAAAATGGGAAGGAAGCATAGAATTGTTGAATCCAAATTCCTATCATTCCCATAAAAGTTTAAAATTAATTTTTTTTCATATTTCAAAAGAAAAAAAAAATCCTGAATGTTCGAAAAATAAAATAATAAAAAATATTGAGTTCTTCCTTTTTTTTCTTTCCTAATTCTGAAGCTTATCTCAACTAACTTAACTGAATGGTGGATAGAGTGAGTGGAATGAGGTGGTGGTTATTGGATGTGGAGGAAGAAGGTTTTTAACGAGAATATAATAAAAGTATATAAAAAACTATTAGAAAACCCTATAAGTATATGAATTCATCACCAAATTGGATTTGTAAAGGGCATTGCTATGGGAAAGCCTTTAGGAATTCATGTGGAGTGCGTATAGAATGATAGAAGCGATTAAAGAGAAGAAAAGGTGATACCCTCAGCCTCTACTACCGCAAAATATTCTAGGACATGATAACGATGTTTTTTTTTTTTTTAATGTTGCGCACATATGATCTTTTTTGGAACTAAAGGTCAGGCCTGTTGCACATATAATGATACAAATTAGAAATTGTTTAAAATTTCATAATAGAGCATGAGGGCTTTTAAAGCTTCTATTTTTTTAAATCATATTTCCTTCCAAAATGATCTTATACATGAAAAGGTTGGAGTAGTTATAGTGGATGATAAGATTAGAGAGTGCCTTAGATGGTTTGGTCACATAAAAAGGTGGTCTTCCGATGATCCAGTTAGGAAAGTAGATGTATTAGATTTGACTAATGTTAAGAAAGATAGAGCTAGACCTAAAAGGACTTGGTTAGAAAATATTAGAAAATACCTTTCTTTATTAGATTTAGATGAGAATTTGACTCTTAACAAGACATAATGGAGAAAAATGATTCATGTAGCCGATCCCACATAGTGGGGATAAAGGCTTGTTGTTGTAGTATATTTTCTTCCAAATGGAAATGCTCTCTGGATCAATCAAGTTAGATTTGAGAAAAAATTATATTCATTCAGATAGCTAGATCATAAACGTAAAAATTTTCTTTTTTATGTAAGCAGTTCTAAACTAAAGTAATGCTAATGGCTAACATGAAAGCTTGCCGTTTCTTGATATGTGAACAATTCTAAACTTCAGTGAAGAAGGTTGTTGCTTTCATCATTTATTCTAAATGCTTTTAACCTTCTTTCTTTTCTGTTTAACAACTGTTGAATGCATTCCAAATCGGAAAATGTTTCCTACGCATAATCATTCAAGTCATTAAATATTAATAAAAAATCATTCAAGTTCCCAACTGCTTCAATAAATATCTTTTTCGGCATCCAAATTCAAATGTGCAAGGAAGTCAAAAGACTGAAGGAAATGTTTCAATCTTTTAATATCATCCACGTCAAGAGGGTAAACCATAGTTTCTCATTAACCGTCTCTTTCTTTCTGTATGTAATTAAAAGCCTAAAACTTTGTTCATCCGCTCTCTCATGTTCTGACATTGTTAACGATTTCTTTTGAAGGGCTTCAATGCTGTTGCTGATAATCTGGCTTACTCAGCTGTTAATCTTCCAGGTTTGGAGCCAAATTCTGCTTGCATCCGCATACCTTTGCTTTATTGACAACTCTAATTCTTATACCTCTTATTCCCTGCAGCTGGAGAAGTTTGTGAAGATTGTGGTCCGTTTAACTGAATCTGGCCAGTACAAGCTGTTCTATGACGTATATATCTATTTTTCTAATTTATGTTTCTTTAATTATTTGTAGTCAGGTACAGTTATTTCTTATGTTTGATTTGAACAACCTCATAACAGAGCTCATCACAGAGACAAAAATATGTTTTCTAGTTTTTTTTCTCTGTCTCGGCTTTTAACCAATGTAAAAAGTTTGAATGAGCTTCGCTACGTGGCACATTATTGCATTTTTTTGCATGGGATTCTGATAATTATTATCTAAGCTGCGGTCAGCTCGTCCAAAAGAATAAAATAAAATAATAATGGAAGACATGAGAGCCTTTTATAGTTAATGGAGTAAATTAAAAAAAAAATATCCATAGTGGACTTACGTATCACATATTGAGTTTCTCCACTTTTGTTATGTTAAATGATTAAAATTCAGCGGCTGAAATAAAATAATATGATTTTGTTTGAAACAGCTTTTCAACTATTTGTTAAAATAAAAATATGTTAATAAAAATAAGATAATTTTCTTATGTTTTTTTTTATATTTTTCTTTTAAAAAGTTTTTATTTTGAAAAAAACTATATTAGAGAAAAGAAAAAAAAAACTTAAATTAACCTTGGCGAAGCTTATGCTTGAAAGACAAATATGATTGAAGCTCGCTAAATAAACTCAGTATACTCTGTTTTTACATATTCTTTCCCTTGGTATTAAATATCTTATATAGAAGGGAAAAGAAAAGAGGCACAAAAAAAAAAAAAAAAAAATGCACACACAGTTTCAAAAACGCAACAAATTTCTTATTTCTATAATAAACAAACGATTTAAATATAGGCAAACATTCTCGAATTTTCTTCCATCAAATCAGTACGTTTAAGGTTCATGGTATAAAATAAGTTTAAAAGTTCAAAATAGTTTATCGATTATTGATAAAATTAGTTTAACTTAGTTTGAGAATTTTGTATTGCCTCATTTTAGTGCCATGATTATTAGAAATTGCATAAATTTAGACCTAGAGTTGAATTAAAGTTATTTCAAATTTAAATATAAATGTTATTTTAAGTATTACAAGTGAATATGAGATTACATTGTTCATATTGTTTTATTTTGTAATTTGATAAATTATAATGTATAGTTAATTTAGTATATAATAAGGACAAATAAACAGTGACAAAATGTATATTTTTTAGAGCAAAATTTAATATTGCTCTTTTTTATTATATTTTAATATAAAATGAAATTTATTTAAATAATTTTTAATCTATTATATAATCTATAAAATTATAAAAACAAATATTTAAAAATAAATTTGAACAAGATTTGAAGTAGAGGTATGAATCTTATTATGCTTCATAATGTGTGCCTCGAAACAATTTCTTTGCATGGATTTAAATTTATTAGGTTTTCTTTAATATGATATGGATGTCCAAATTTATTATTGATGTAGAGAGGCGTTACATAGCTTTGATTACATACAAAACTTAAGTTGTAATGGAGAATGCAATTAAATAGTTTGAAAGCATTCTTTGCTAGAGAGGGATAAGGAACTTTTCAATGATCCTAACATATGGTTCTCTAGAGTCTTGAAAATTGGAGGCAATAATATAAGATTTTATATCTTCAAATTTGCACGTATTATTGAATAGGATTGTAGAGAATTGACTATAATGAGGGGAATGTTACGAGGATTTAGATAAAAATAGAAAACAAATCCTCATCCTAATACATAGTGGAGTTGTCATATCCTTGCAATACTAGGCTTATGAAGCTATTGAAAATTGGGGAAGACATGTGATAAATTGTTTGATGAGCTATTCACTAGGATGATGAGTTGGAGATCCAATAAAGTGTTGACAAATAATTTTTTTTTTATAATTATTATTGAAGAAGATTATTATATCCTTAAGTTATAGTTGATAAATGTCCTAATGAATCAATTTCCTTTCGAATGTTAAAATGAACATTCTTTTATGATCTTTAATTACTCCCCCTATAGTAGCTCAATTTTTTTTTTGCGGATTGTAGCATCCACATTCACTTTAATCCAATTTGCTGGTGGGGATGCCATGCTTTCATTCAACTCATTTAGCTGGTTAACAATCCAGTTCTCTACAATAGGATTTTTAAAAATTTTGATAGTGGAAGCTAGGACATTTGCAATAATAACTGCAGTTGAGCACACTAGAATACCGTATTTGCAATCATTCCTAGCTTTCCATAAATGAAAGACCGAAGAACAATAAAATATAGTAATTACCATATTCTCCCTTTATCACCTCTCTAGTTGTTGTAGCATTTCATAATAAGAATGAAATCTATGAATAAGATCCTCAGTTGATTAAGAATAAAGATAATGCTTATCAATTCATTACATTTTATAGCAATATACTCATTATCCTCATCTTGTATAAAACCACTTGGACAAAGCCTTGAATCTATCAGTTTCTTATGATTTAACCAGTCTCCCATAGGCAATGCCATCCTATATATCCTCCTATAGAAAAAACATTCTCTTGGTAGCAAATTCAACTTCCTTATCCACTCAAGGTTTAAGTCATCTGAAGAATTATTGAACTTATTATCCATTACCATAACAACAATAGATTTAACCAAGAATGCTATAATTAACACAACTTGATCCTCTTCCATGTTAGAACATAATGGAATTTGGTGAATAATATATACCAAATCATCCCTAAAAAAATTTTGTAAATTTTTTACTCCATTCACCATTATAAATAAAGTGGTCAATAGATATATCCTATAAGCTTTGAGATGGGGGCTATGGAGTAACCTATAGAATTGTGAAATGATATAGGGCTTTATAAATCCCTTACAATGCTTGGGTTTCTTTGATATAAAAAATTATAAAAAACCCATTTAATTTACATAAGTATATGTGTAGAATCAAGCAATATAGTGATAGAGTAGAGTATCGATCCCACGAGGAAGATATGCTCAATTACAAATACTAGTATTATCTACTAAAATTATAATAATTATCCTACTTGATAAAAATAGAATATGTGGAGATTCAATCATTTAAATAAAATTAGATAAAGAATACACTATATAAATACAATATTTTGGATTGATGAATGAAAATAACATATTTTTCCAATGAATCTCTTTTAGTTGTGATGCTATTCTGACCATATATATTCATAGATCTCTATCAAGCTTGTAAAAATAAAGGATGTCCACAGACTTCCTATAGATATATCATGTCCTTAATAATTTAGAACATTGCATACAATATGCCTAGGTATGATGCATACTAATTCAATATTCCTAATTATGCATGCTTACCTTTATCGAGGCCTCATATTACACCTAATTTAACTACACATATATTATGTTGATTAAATTAAGATTTTGTAATATTAATTTTTTTAATCATTTAAGGAATAAAATTATTTATTATTACTATATATGATACTTATATCATCAATCCAAAACTTGAGAAATTAGCCAGACTTGGAGTAGACTTGAAGCAAACTCATGTTCATTAATGGCATGATGGAAACAAAATATAAGAGATAGATATCACTAGATTTGTTCAATGGATCTCCTCTATACTCCTTTTAACTTACAGAATTGCTTTTACAACCACAAGCCAAACACTTTAACAATGGTATCAAGTACTTCCCTAAATTCCCATAGTTATCACCTTAAGGGAGTTTCAGAGAAGCAGTCTGAATTATTCTAAAATGATATAAGTGATTAAACTCCCTTATAAACATAACACATTCATTATTTATAGGAAAACACAATTTAGGCATCTGGTGTTGCAGCACTTAAAAGATTAGCATTGCTACACCCAATAAATGTACCAATGCCACTGTGCTTCTTTTCTGGCTCTGCCGAGGTGCTTCAAGATGTTGATCAATTACTTAGTGAATAGTCACGACATTTTGTTGAAAGATCGTGTCATTGGGAAATTACAAGTGCTACACCATGGCATTGTAATTTATTGAATGTTGCAGCACTAGAAGAGAAATTTAGGTGTTGAGGCACTATAGAGTCTAATGTTGTAGCAATTATATGGTAGAGAACATGGCACTATAAAGATAAATTTTTACACCATTGTGTTGTTTGATAGAGAAGTTAAAGCTGTGATGTTGATATTCTTGCACTCGTGTAGTGTCTTCGATGGTGTTGCGGCGTTGTTTGTTTAGACACTGTAGAACTATATGAATCAAAGCATTTTATGTCTTTTCTATAATTTTCCTAAATAATACTATAAAATAACACATTTTCACTAAAATATAACACATAAAATAACACATTATTTACACTTATAAAATTCTCCCGAGCTTAAATTCATGCTTATCTGCAAGGAAATAAATATATTATAATTTTTATTAAAACATTAAACAAAAGAAAGACTTTGAGTATCAATTTTTGCTTCGAAACCTTTTTACAATCTTAATGAGTTTTATGTAAGGATTTAATAAGATTACCAATTTCAAATCTGGATTGTTTATGATTTCCAATTTTAATCTATTCATATTGAATATTTAATTATAATTATTCATCTATACTCCAAAAATTAATAAATAAAGGTATAACTTATAATTTCTAATTAAAGTAATAATTTAAATGAAATTAAGTTAGATAATTATTAGTTTCTTTTTCACTCTATAAAGTATAAATAATATTCATTTAAATTATGATCTAGGTTTTATTATTATCCTAGTTGTCTATATTTTTTAATTATCATTTGTACTAAGGTTAATTAAATAATCAAAATACAAGAACAGTTATAGTAAATTTGAAAGGTATTCAAATAAAATGTAAATAAAAGAAACACAAATAATAATGAACACTACACATGCTGTCATATGAATGATAAAATGCGTATAAAATATGTGATAACATAACATTCATAACAAAAAGTGAAAAGTTTTTATTCCCACAACGACAAATCATGCACATCTATATATTCCAATTACACTTAACTGCTTTCTCTTTTAATGATAAAAAATAAAATACAGAGAAACATAAAATACTCTCTTTACTTTAAATTCATAATTTTCTTACTCATATACTCCACATGGTTTTAAGCTATGACCATTGACCTTAAAAAAGTGAAAAGTTTACTTATCTTGAATGCTCATGGCATCCTTAAGATATATTTTTATAGCAGTATATGGGCCAATCCATCCAGATTTAAGTTTTTCATGACAAAACTTCTTTTTGTAATCAAATAGTAGAACATTTGAATTCTCAACTGGGTTGCCTCCCTTGATGGGTTAAGTTTATA